TTTCCTCTTAACTACTGGGTGCAGAGTGCGAAGCTCCTAGAACACTTCACATCTGTCAGTGATCTGTCATACTCCATGCGTTTTGCACTCGAACGCTTGATACCGAACGGGTCAAACTGTAGCTGGAGTACTTCGGAGTAACTCAGGAGCGCTCAAAAGGTGGCACCCGAAAGCAGCTCATATTACTCGTTTTTGTGCGAGAAATAAGGAGCATTTACATTCACTTCCAACTTCAAGTTAAATCTGACGTTTGATATTTTATCATTTACATTGCAGAATAAAAACGTCAAGTCAAAACGTCAGAATTTAATGAGAATTATGATGAATAACCTAAATATTTGACATTTCACAAATTTCTGCTGCTTGCCCTTGGCAAGCAGCTCGCCCAAATTTGAAGTGCACTTCGAAGTGAACCTCAAATTTATTTCAATGTAAATGGATCTGTGCTATCGCCATATGCCAAGCGCGTCAATTTCAAGACAAATTGGACTTCGAAGTGAATGTAAATGCGCCATTACGCTTTTTCTGCGATTGACAAGAAATGTCAGCATTTTTGACTGGTTGACAGATCGCAAAACTCAATATTCTGGTATTTCAATTATGTTTCAATAGTTGCTAAGAAATCAATGAATAACAATACGGGAAGCATTTATTCATTCCGTCACTTGGCCAAACATAAAACTGGTACAGGCAATATATATTTCTTAAATTTGCCTAGTGTGAGTCAGGCTTAACAACAAAAAGTCTGTTCTGAAAAACTTAGGTTAGACAGTATTTGTCAACGTATTGGTCAACGTCAAAGTGAGTGTAACCATGATTGGTTATGATTGGTTTAAATATGACACTAACTTGACTCCTTTTGTCATTGTTGAGGTGACAAAAAAGGTCGATTCACACAAAACAATACAATAGGAAAATGCGTACCAGTTTTATGATTGGCCAAGTGTATATGGCACCTAGCACAATCCCATTGGTCAGATTTAAAATTTAAACCAATTAAACTTCGAGTGCCATACGCGCGTACGGAATGTAAATCAGTGCCATATGCACTTACGAAATGTCATACCTTAGTTATTGCAGCAGAAAATTTTCTTAAGCTGAAAACGAGTTAATCGTCAATTATTCTTCAACTATAGGAATCTATATTAAACTGCTGTAAATACTGTATCTCAAATTTGCTAGTATGGCGTATTGATTTTCTAATTTTTTTACGGAACTTTGAATGTAATAATTAGGTAACTAAGTATTATTAACACATTACAAACATGCGGTATTTAATCTAAATTTCGGTGAGCACAGAAAATATACATAGTATTAGACTTATTAGAGCGAAAGTGGAAAGCGTCAACATGTTTATTGAATAATATAACAAAACAAGAAAGTTTTATACAAAATCAGTGCACTAGAAGTGCTGAATTCGCTATTTTTAAAAAGCATAAGATCAAAAACATTCTGAAAGTTGATGGTCATGGTGAATTTGTCAAAGACACAAATTCTTCCACCCATCTTCTAGCGCCATTTTCAAGCATTAGGTTTCCTCCTTTTCCAGGACTCTGCTCAAAATATTTATAATAGGGTACTTGCATAGAAAATTAAATTGATTATTGTTTATTGCAAACTGTAGGAAATCGAAAAAAAATCGTTACTTTTTTTTAATTTCGCCCAAATATGATTATTTCGGAAGTTATACAAATATTAATTTCTGTATATACAGGGTGTTCCGAAACTATTGTGCCAAAAATTAAGGGATGATAGATCGCGCCAAAATAAATGTTTTTTACATATAAACACATAGGCGCAGGCGCTTTGGTTATGTGATAATAGAACATTACAGGTCGCGCTGTGGTAGCCACCTTACACACGGAGAAACGTGTTTGGAGCAGAAACTGTGTTTTAAATGATGAAAAACCCAAGGAATGCTTGCAGTATTTACTAAAAACGATGATTCACAGCAAAAAATTCTCAAAGCTACGACCACCCACCTCCATACGTGCGTGACAGCGCCGTAGCATAGCCTCCTGCACACGTTGAAACATTCATGGTGTTTTGAGAATTTTAGCAGCTGCTGCAACAATCCTTCCTACTAACTTCCTCTTACTGTTTCAACCTTAGGTTTCAACTGGAGTGTCGTAAAAAAGAGCTTTCATATGACCCCATAAAAAAAAAGTCGCATTCCGTCAGGTCTGGTGAACGTGGAGTCCATGCCCCCTTAACAATCACTCTTTCCAGATGTTTCGTTGAGATATTCCCTTAAGGCTAATAAGTAATGTGGTGGTGGTCTGTGGTGTTGGTACCCTATGTTTTGTCTGGCATACAGGGAAATCTACTCGATATTTCTGCTAAAACTCTGTTACACATGCATTGAGGCGGGTGGTCGTATTTTTGAGCATCTTTTGATATGAATCATTATTTTAAATAAATACTGCAAGCATTCTTTGGGTTCTGTATTATTTAATAACACAGGTTCTGCTTATTCAAACACTTTTCTCCGTGTGCAAGGTGGTGATGGTAATGTGCTATTATCACCTAAACAAAGCGCATGCGCCTATGGGTTTATAAGTAAAAAACGTTTATTTTGGCGATATTTATCATACCTCAATTTTTGGCACAATAGTTTCGGAACACCCTGTATAGATATACTGAACATGTGCAACGTCACTAATTTATATGATAAGTGACGTCATAGGCATATTTCACAGCGTTGTATCTCCGTCAATTTTTGACTAAGAAGAAAAAGAAAAAACACGTGTTGACTTATTTTTTATGGAATAACGATATCAGCAATAAAAAAAATTGATGCAAGTACCCTATTCAAAGGTAGCAGCGTTGTCGCAGCATGCATGGCGATTTTAAACATCCAACCAAACACAAACACAAGAGATTTGATTAAAATAATGTCGGAAAAGCAATAACTACCAAATTTCTTGTTCAAAACATTTTTGAAAAAATCGAAAGAGAGGACGCAACGCCAAATTCCATAGAAGTACCTAACTATTTAAGCCCGACAATCATAAAAATAAAAAACGATATTTGGCCGCTGAAGACGTGATTTTGCGTGCGCATAACGCATAACTAGGTATATATGGTATATTACAATCCGTAAGTGCATATGGCACTGATTTACATTCCGTACGCGCGTATGGCACTCGAAGTTTAATTGGTTTAAATTTTGAATCTGACCAATGGGATTGTGCTAGGTGCCATATGCATTTACGAAATGAATAAATGCATACGGGAAACACTTTTCCGGCCTAGGCCGGGAAGGTGATTCTCGTATTGCTGAATAATTGGAACTAAAAGACAAACATTTAACAGGTATTTAACCGATCGCAGAAAAAATAGTATGTGTATTTCGGTGGAAAAGCACATTCTCGGCCTTCGGTGTTTGCCGGCCTCGGCTACGCCTCGCCCGTCAACTTACACCGTCGGCCGAGAATGTGTCACTTTTCCACCTAAATACACAATAAACTATTTTCATCCATGTATCGGCGGGGGAGCGGCTCGAAACACACACACAGCGTTATCGCGCCTGGCGGATCAGCTAATTAAAAAATGCATGATCTCGCTGTTGCCAGTTGTTTGCGTTCAGTCACACCATACGCAATGGCGTCTTCTAGTGACGACGATTTTTTTTGGATTTTGTTAGAATATTCGTCTGAGCCCAAATCCCAAATCGCTGGCCCTATGTGAATTTCATTAATTAGCCTCTCAACGTTCATATTTTCCATAATTTTATTCTCACTTGCAACACTGATATTCACGAAAATCAAAAAACCGTACTTAAACCGCTCGACGTGTGTTTCCTTCCATTTAGTGCCACTGGAGTGCCGCTCGTACTTTTACTGCCGCTCGTACTTTTACTGCCGCTCAACCATTCAGTTACCCCCGAGCTTACCCCATTGGTTTGGAGAAAAAATAGCGTGTTGCATACGGAGTAGAAGCACTTTTTGTGCTTCAGCAGTATTGCAAGCCTCACTACGTTCGGCTCGCAAACCTACTGCTTCAGCACAAAAAAGTAAAGCTTCTACTCCTAATATAACAATATACTATTTTTATTTTTTGGCAAAAAGGTTCGGTTTCAAGTACTTTTTATAGGTCAACTTCTACCTGTTTTTCTAACTCTAGAATCAACTTGATTATTAAGTGAATTTCGAAGGTAAATGATTAAATGTGTTATACAAAATCCTATTTTTTTCGGAAACGACTGATTTAATCGAAACAAATGTAGAGCACTTTTTTTGAAAAGAAATGACCAAAGTATTTAAAAAATCAGTTAGATTCCTGTCAAACATTTGGCACAATGTATATCGTGGCAAGTTCGTTCCTAATTTCCAAGAGTATGTCTTCTGTAGTATGATTTTATGAGTCTTTATGTAGGGTTATTTTGACCCCTCCCATACCCTCCCGAGAGTATGCCATATACTTATCGGACACCCTGTATATACAAAACTTAATATTTGTATAACTTCCGGAATAATCATATTTGGGCAAAATAAAAAAACACGTATTGATTTTTTTTCGATTTCCTACAATTTGCAATAAACAATAATCAATTTAAATTTTTCATGCAAGTAGCCTATTGCATAGTAACTGGTGTGAGAACTGGTGTTTTGACATTTTTTGACAAAAAAATTTGAATTTTTGATTTATGAAATTCTCTCATAAAATACAACTCGTATATATCTATAATTTTCAACAAATTCACACTCATTCGCTTCTAACTGAAAAAGGCACTCGTGCACTACGTGCACTCGTGCTCTTTTTCAACTAAAAATGCATTCGGGCAAATTTCCCAAAAATTATCGATAATTTCCATTGCACTCGTTATATTACTATTGATAATTTTTTTTCGTCAAGACTACGATGAATAGTTTCTGAGATATAACCAAGTGCCATTCTTAATAAATCATCCTGTACAAATTTTCTACATAAAATGGATATTCACAAGATGTTGAGTGTTAACTTTCAATGCCTACTAAAACTAACTTTACAATTTTCAGAGCAAATAGAAAATGCATCAGAAAAGGTGAAAGTCACAAGAGCCTTTTGTTTGCTGTCCTTAAAAATGTTGCAAGGCTCAGATGTGAGACTGTACGAGCTTAAATCCATAATGCATCCGTCAGCGGAAGTCCTTAAGGTCGCCTTCGAAAAATTTGATGAGAATCTAGAAAACTTGTATACTAAAGGTATCGAATTTTTGCTGGGACTTGTTGATGAATTAAAACTGGTTCTGATTAAAGACGAATTTAATCGCACTGTTCCATCTGATACAACTGGCAGTGCCGCCAAGGGCATTGTAACAAAAAATAGTGTTATTGGACATTTTTTAAGGCGATTCATAGTATACTTTGAAACGTTAAACTTTTCCGAAGTAAGCGGCTTATATCAGGCTTTCATTCGGTTTTATGAGGAATGGAAAAAGGAATCGCAAAACAGCCTATCCACGGTTGTATCCAGTCAAGAGGAATGGCGTTTGGATGAGAAACAATGGTCCAGAAGACAAGCAGAATTATTTTTAGCCACTCAAGCGGCTCTATTACAAAACGACGAAGAGAAAGCTTTGCCGCCACACGAGTTGCAGAATAAAATTTCCAGTATTTTAAAATCAAACCCTGATTTAGCTGAATCGGTAAGAAACTTCTTTTTTTCAATATATCTTGTTTTTAATGGATTTTTTTAGCATTTCATGGCATTTTTAAATTATTTAAGAGTTGAAGAGTTTTGTGGGGCCATACAAAGCTTATTTCATTGCTTTGACAGGAGAACTAATACAGATGTTAAGTGTTATAATGATGAAAAGAGTAAAGAGCAACGATATGCAGCGTTGAACTTGGCTATTCTTCATCATCATTTTGGATACACGTAAGAAGTTGACAATATTTATTTGATAAAATGTATACGTATTTTTGTAGTAAAGAAGCCTTAGCTTCATTGAGGGAAGCCATTAAAATAGCTCACGAAGCCAATGATAATCTTTGCTTGCAGCATGCTTTATCTTGGCTTTATCGTCTTTCGAACGTCAATAAGGATAATCTCATTGTTCAGTGCATCATAAAAACATTCGAATTGAATATAAGCTACACTACTTCCTTGGCATTACAAAATTTTGCTCATTATGGCAGTGCAAAAACATCTGTAAAACCAAGTGTAATTTTTGAGGTAAATACTTGATCAATTAATTTATTATAATTATGTACCTATTGCGTTTCAGACACTAACGAAAAGCGACATGTTAAATTGCCAACACAACTTCAAAGATTTAATTTTCAACAACAACATGATGAAATCGTCATTGTGGAGGCTTTACGGCAAAACGGAAATGAACACTCTATGGGCGCAACTACTTTTGTATTTAAATATTGACACAACCACTCACACCGCTGCTCATTATGGCGAAGGTTATTTACAGGCAGTTTGTAATACTGCTCTGAATATGCTATCACAAGGAGAGTACGATCTAGTAAATCTACTGCTGCAATATGCCAAAAAGAAATATCCGAACGAGCCCTTGGCCCATAACTGGATGCTGGTGGAAAATTTTGCTAGCTTTACCCGGGCCCTCTATCACGAAAAATGGAAGGAGGCCGAGTCTGCGGCTCAAAAAATTCTCGTTTTGGACAAATGGGAGGGCTATCTAAAATTAGCCGAATTGTTGTATCATCAGCAAGAATATGATGAGGCGACTAAATGTGATAACGTGGTTTTACATGTAAGTATTAATTCATCTTTTTCCATAAAGTTAGTTTGTAGATTTATTTATTTATTTATCGACGGTTCAAGCCCAAAAAAAGAGCTAAAACTATAAAATTCTGAAAACAATAAAACAAATTTAATTAACTCAAATTAAATTATCCACCCACACCAGAAAACAAAAAGACCACAAAATTAAAATTGAAATAAGTATTTACTGTACCATTAGTAATTAAATCAAATCAATGACAACCTTGCCATTAACAGTTTTAAGAAAGGAGAAAAATGAAAGAAAAGTTAAAAAAAAAGAGAGAATGAGGAAAAAAAGAAAAACAACAGTAATTTATGATTTTTATAAAGTTAGGCCTTTGGCAGTTTGCACAAATGGTACGCAATGACCAAAGAAATCTAAATCTGATAATTCATTGCATAGTCTGAGGGTACGAGAAAGAAATGAATGAGTGATGGTAAACATAATTTGTTCTATGAAACTGTTGGCGATAAGTTTGTGTAGTACGAGTGTTCCTGGATGGAACATCTAATCCAATTCTGGAAGTTAAATAGGAACAATCTAATCTATACTAGAGTTTATGAGTTTTTGTATTAGTATTAGGTCTCTCTGTGGCAGAGAGACTCTGCTTTCTTCTACTGGTGAGAGTTGTTAAGTGTACTGATGTGCATAAGTCAGAATAATGAAATTCATTGTTGTCATAAAATTTGTAGTTAATGCATCTGCAGAATTTTCTCTGAAAAGTTTCAGTTTGATGGACATTGCATGCATAATAAGGACTCCATACCGAAGCAGCAGACTCTAAATGTGATCTGTACAGGGTGGGCCAATTTGGACACTTTTAATAGGAAACGTCAATTTCTGAGCGAGATACAAAAAAATGAACTCTCCACTCTGAGGCTCAAATTTCATGAAATTTTGATTGGTGCAAAGCAAACCGCATTTTGATATCGGGTCTTCAATAAAAAAACCAATCAAAGATTGCTATGGTTTTTTAAACGTATGTCTTAGCAATATTTTTCTTTAATTTTGTCAATGAACTTTAATGTCAAAATGTGATGTCAAAAATCCTAACCAATAAAGAAACAGTAATGCGACATACGTTTTCGTATTCAAAGCAATCTTTGATTGGTTTTTTTTTTGAAGACCCTATATCTTCAACTCTTCAGCCGCTAGAGGGCGATTCTCGATTTTGAGCAATACTGTGAAACCTGAGCAGATTTCATGTGATATACCCTATACCTAAGTTCAACTGTTTTGGAAATATTGACAGTTGAAAATTGACTTTTTGCAACTTTGACAGGTTGTAAAACCTAATTGGTTAATTTTAGAGGAAAACCAATTTCACATTCCTATCTTAGATTTTGATAAACTATCATTTAACACCAACTTTGAACTTAACCAGAGATTAAATTTAACTGGTCGGGGATTCTAAAATCACGATTCGACATACGATTCGACAACGAGACGATTTTTCCGACGATTCTAGGTTAGAAATCTCATTGGAATTATACCTTTCGACACGACAAGGCCGATATCGTTGTCGAGTCGTGTGTCGAATCGTGATTTTAGAATCTCGGCCCTGAAATTTTTAATCATGGATTTAATTCTAAGTTGGTGTCAAATGATAGTTTATAAAAATCTAAGATAGGAATGTAAAATCGGTTTTCCTCCAAAATTAACTGTTCAGGTTCTACAGCCTGTCAAAGTTGCAAAAAGTCAATTTTCAACTGTCAATATTTCCAAAACAGTTGAACTTAGGTATAGGATATATCACATGAAATCTGCTTAGAATTTTACGTAGAATCCAAATATGCAATTTAATACGGGGTGTTCCATTTAAAATAGTGATGTTGCCACTAGTTTAGAGTAGAAGCGGCAACATCGCATGGTCAAAAATATTTTTAAAGTGTAGATCATGGTCGTTTATCCCGGTTGCCAAATTTTCAAAATGATCCGCTTTTTAGTTCTCCTTAAACGTCTAATACGCCATCCACCGTGGGACACCCTGTATATTAATAGTTCATTGGAAAGCTCTGCTTTTGCTGATTTCAATGATACAAAATTTATCGAATTTTTTATCTCCAACAGTTTCCGAGAAAAAACTTATTTTGATTTTTGTCACAAGAAACAATGTGTTGGAAAAGGACTTTATATCTGTAAAGAAAACGAGAAAGGTCTCTTTTTAACACATTGTTTCTTATGACGAAAATAGAAATAATTATTTTTCTCGAAAATTGTTAGGAATAAACCTATCGAACTTTATATTATTGAAATCAGCAAAAGCAGAGCTTTCCAATAAGTTATTAATATATAGGGTGTTCTATTGAAAAAAAATAGGATTTTGGTCAATATCTTGAAATCGGAGTCAATTAGAAAAAAACTGAATTCTGCTTAAAAAAGTGCTTCTAGAAACTCTTTACGGAAATCAATTATTTTCATAAACAAAAAAGTTATGAAGGTTTCACAGTATTGCTCAAAATCGAGAATCGCCCTTTAGCGGCTAAACGGTTGAAGATATCAAAACGCGGTTTGCACCAATCAAAATTTCATGATATTTGAGCCTCAGAGTGGAGGGTTCATTTTTTTCTATCTTGAAAAATAAATGGTGTTTCCATAAGAAAGTGTCCAATTTGGATCACCCTGTACTACAATAGGAATAGTACAATATTCTAATTGCATTAATGGTCGAGAAGCCCTTAGGACTGCGTTCCACAAAACCACGCATGCGTAAAGCCTTGTTGATTGCATAGTCAATGTGAGCTGTAAAATATAGATTTGAGGTTAATATTATACCGGGTGTTTTTCGAAGCCCGCTCACCCCAATAACTTTTTTATTTTTCCAAATAAACAAATGAAATTTGGTGTATTCATTTATGACCCGGATGTGCATTATTTGGGGCTTGTGGGGAAGTCCGAGTAGGGTCCCAATTCTGGCAGGTATATTTAATTATGGTCCAGTTGGGTCCGGCCTAAGGCCTAATTGGGTTCACGATAATATCCAAATAATTGAATAAAACTGAATTTTAATAGGACAGTGTTGCCGATTTAGGATAGTTTCCTAGATTTCATGGTAGGTACTTCAAGTAATTAATTGGAGGTTCGAGAGGGTGGTATTACAGGTATATTTCCTATTGTTATAAGGTTGGTACCCCATGGTTATTAAGTTCACTCGCTAATTAAATTCGTTTGACGTATTCAATAATTTATTATCGCTTCCGGTTTGACCGGAAGTGACCGCAACTTTCTTATTTCAAATGAGACGCCAGGTATACTTTCCCTTATTTCAATAGAAAACTAAATTACGAGTACAATGACACCTCATTTGTCACTTTTTGACATTTCATCTCCAAATTATTTAAATGTTTACTTTTTAATCTAGAGTGCCATGAATTAGTTAAAATGTTTAATTCTGTTCCAAGGAACCTGGGAAAATTTGTTTTGATTTCATTTTGTATTTTATATCCTCAATAGACTCATTTAAAGATAGTAGAAGCGCATTTTTGGAATTGTATCAATTTTTTCAAATGGAAAGGGTATGGCTCATTAGCATATTTCGAGAGATCATTTTCTAACGAACAATTTAGTACCACACAATCGCTGGTTTATTCAAATATTGAACTAAAATTTTTCAAAAATATTTAGAATGCTAGGAAAATTCATCATTTGAGTGATGAACTAGCGATTGTGTGGTACTGAATTGCTTGTTAGAAAACGGTCATTTGGAATATTGTAATGAGCCACACTCTTTCCATTTGAAAAAATTGAGATAATTACAAAAATGCACTTCTACTATTTTTTAATGAGTCTGTAGAGGATATTTATTTATTTCCATTAATTTCCCCTTACAAAAATAATTACATAATAAGTATATAATGAGTAAGCACAATTTAATAATAAGTATAATAAAATAAAATAAAATAAGTAAGTACCCCTTACGTAAAACTTCTAGGCTTTCTAGGCTATGCCTGACAAAAAAAGAAAGAAGTGTTCTGCTGAAGTTCTAATGTAGGACTTGTACGCAGAGTTCCTTCCCCTTATTCAGTGATACAGAACCTAAACTCTAAATTTGGATACAATTGATCTTTTACCTATTACACAGATGCATACATAAAACTTGTACCCACCAAAATTCAAATAAAAAATAATATAACAATAATACTTCGAGCTATACTATGTAATTAGAAACCAGAAGGAAAATAAATAAGAACATTTCTGCTGAAGTCCTGATGGACTTGTGTGCAGACTTTTCTTGTTATTCCATTCAGTTATGCAGACCGCGTTTACATGTTGAAACAAAATAGTAAGTAGTCATAGGAAGTACTAGAAAACACAAAACAATCTAAATTTGACCCTTAGCATACCCGGGAGCATACCCATTTCCATAAATTTACAACAATAATTATAAGTAGATAAATAATAAAAAAACAAAAAAATACCTCAGTAGCACTATGTTGTATAAATTCATTGTCACTCTGCACTTCAAAAAACAAGATTCATAAAGAGAATTTGCTTATTTTAAAGAAGAATTTTTTGAACCTAAAGATTGAATATGCAACTCGATATGCAAGTAATGTTATTTGAGTTTTCCATTTATTAGTTCATTAAAAAACGTACGGGGAGTTTCAAGAATCCATTTCTTCAAAATACTTCTAAACAATTTCAATAGAGAGACATCCTTAAGAAAATCTGGCAAAAATCTGTAGATGTAAGGCCCGAGAAAGGAAATTGTTCTTTGGGCAATTGTCTTTTTGGTTTTAATAGTTGCAACCCTCAGTTTCAACTTTTGTCGGGTATTATGTGGGTGATCAATTATATTTACAAATTCGACCTTGATCGGATAGGACTTACTGTTTTGCTCAGTGTTCTTACTTAGTGCAAACGCATTATTGAAGTCGTTTTCCTGTGTGTCTACGTTAAGAAAGTTTTTAAAAAAAGTGTCCAATCCACATTAATTTAGAGTCTTTTTCTTTTATTTTTTCTTTATTATATTTACTATTATTTATGTG